GCAGGATACTCTCTTGCATGCTCTGCCTCTTCTGCTCTGGAACCTGCTACTGAGACAGGATAGGACATGAGTGGGAGGTGAACAGACCTAAGGCAGGCAGAGCAGTTGGAGGTGGTCGCATAATTCAGGCAAGAGAAGATGATGTCCTGCTTTAGAAAGCCAAGAGCACAGGAGGACTCTCTTCAGCCTGCACTTAGCCTTCACTTGCTGGTTGAGCCAAGGAAAATGGTTTAATTTCCCCAGCCTTCAAAGTGCTCATCACTAAAAGAGGAGGGACTATCATCTCTCTCTTAGAGCATTGTTATATTAGTTAGTTTTGTTGCACGAAATCCTCTTGTACACTACAGTTGTTTTTTAAAAAAAATACCATTTTTCCTGGGATCATTTGCAAGTAAGTGGGGCTGGACTTTCCTTTCCCAGAGCTCTATCTTCAAGGAGTTCTCTCAACTCCAAAGCCCTTCCGCCAGTTCCATTTTGTGTGTAGCACTGAAATTCTCTCTATTGAAACACAAAGTGATGAATTCCTTAGTTTTGGGGTGGGGCTGCATTTTACATTGTTGCCTAGAACAACAGCTTACAAGGAATGAACCCTGGTTTGCATCCCCTCCCTTCTTGGGCAACAAAATGCTCAAGTTCTGACAGGCTCTCAGGTAAAACTCCGTAGAGCCAATGTGGGCTGAGACAAGCCAATCTGAAGTCTGTCACCCATATTTGACAGTCACAAAACTTGTTCAGAAAAATCAGTGAATGGTGGAGTTGGAAGAATCTTAAAGATTGTCTGATCCAAATTGCTCATTTTTAAATAGGGAAACTGAGAAGAGGGAAGGAAAATTATTTCACCCAAGATGACAGATAATTTGAGAGAGAGAGAGAGAGAGAGCTGGCACTCTCCCTCCTGCCCCTGCTGCCCACATTATGTCATAGAAACTCTTTATTGGGAATATTAAAAGATTTGCTGTCATTTTTACCCTTTCTACCAACCTGATCCCATAATGAGAACCACTACTTGGCCCATGTCACAGCAGCCCCAAACAAAAGCAGCACAGGTGGGAGCATCAATCCATCCACACTTCCACTCACCCAGCAAACATCACCAAGTGCCATCTTCAGGCCAATTACTGAGGACCCTGAGATAAAAGACACAGGCCCTGCCTTCCAGGTGCCCAGAATTAAATGATGAGAACAGAAAATGAGCCCTCTCTGGGAGGGCAGGCTGTTTTCCATACAATTAAGTCAACACTCCTCCCCCTGAGGAGTTTTCTACTTAAGCTTGTGACTGCATTGACTTTCCTCATATCTAGATTATGAGGTTGATTTTCGGGGGGGGGGGGGGGTGAAAATATGCCAGTTGTCTCTGTTCCCCTAATTTATTCACTTCCTCAAAAAATACTTCTTGAATACCCAGAACAAATTACAAAGGATGCAAAGAGAATTAAGTCCCCTCTCCCAAGAATCTAATAATCCATTGGCGAAATAAATGATGATCAAGGGAAGGAAGACACCAAGGACAAAGAGTGTCCAAGTCTGCAGGGAAAGCTTCCCAGAAGTGGTACATGAAGCTACGTAAAAAAGGGGAAGAAGTCCGCTGAGCAGACACAGGGGGAATGTCACTCTAGGAAAAGAGAATAGCATACGCAGAGCCATGGGAGTATGGAACACTTCTAGAACCTGAAACAGTTCATTACTGTTAGCATATGAAGTGCAAAGACAGATTGGCAGAAAATAAGAATACAAGGAGGCAGGGACGGACTTATACCATGCTAGAGAGATGGGGCTGCAGCCTGGACAAAAAGAAGTATGAAAGGTTTTAGGGCACAAACCAGATGGCAAGGCTTTTATTTCAGAAATTCACTCAGCTGAGCAGAAGGTAAGTTGAAGTTGAGGCGCTCAGGGAGGAGGTCAATCATCACTCCAGAGACGATCTGATGAGGCCTGGTGAGGGCAGTGGCAATGTCATGCCAAGCCAGGCCAGAACTTGACTTTCTGCATGATCCACCCATTAGCCGGCACACCTGAGCAGTGGTACTGACCATGACCCATAATCACCTGGCCTGGAGTTATGCACTGAGTCTCCAAAGCTGTGACTCATGGTCCTGACAATGCTCCTGCATGTAGAAGAGACTATCTCCTGCCAGCCAGAGAGAATGGTTAAGGCATCACAAATGATCTGTGGACAATTCCAGTTTTCTTGAATTGATACATTGTTGAGTTTCTAAAGGCTCTTGGGAGAGGTGGTTTTTAATACCCTTTAATCCATTTTTCCATCATTAATACAAAGTCATTTCTGAGCTTGTGGTTTTAATAAACCTGTCTTTTCCAAACAAGGCAGCCCGTCTGGCAAAGAAAAAGAACCTTCTTTCATCCCTTCCTGGAACTGTTTCAGGTCCCTCTGACCTTCCTGCTTTTGCTCCCCCTGTTCCTTCCTCTGAAATAACGTTTGTCCTCCAATCTAAGATTATGCACTGGAGTCTTGTGGATCCAGGTTCAAATTTCCAGCTTGGCTCTGCTGAGCTGTGTGATCTACAAGTCACCCAGTGTGCTGAGATTCAGGGAGCTGCCCTCGTCCTTGCTGCCCAGTTGTCTTAGAGTTAAAGTGTGAGAAACGTTCCATTCAGTGCCTACTCCACAGGCAACATTCCATATTGAGTGGTTCTCTGTTAAGTGAGGTTCTAGTTTAATAGTGAAGGTCTATACTTCTCTACTGAAAAAGACAAAGTGAAGTACTGAAAGGTTTGGCAAAAATACATTTTTTTGATTGTCAGGATAACCATGAATTACAGTTTTCTTACCCAAATTAATTAACCCTGACACCTGAGTGCCCACTTGATTTCCAAATCCAGCTGTGGCATCCCACAACTTACAATTAAGAGACAGTTGCTAATAAGAGACTTGGAACTCGAAATCAACAGCAAAACATGAGAAGCTTCACAGTAAAGGACATAGTTGCTGACCCCCAAGTCCTTCTCTCAAACACAGGAGCTTGGAAGGTAACTGACAGCCAGTGCTGTATGCAGCTAGGATGGGGCTCGGGTGGAAGCTTTCCCTGGAAGTAGCAAGCATGGTCAGGTTCTATTATGGTGAGAGAGTTGTTCAATGTTAGGGCAGGTTACTGACAGTGGGTGTGGAGTCTCCTTTAGGAGAAGCTTTAAAAAATAATAACTGCAAAGTATGTGATGAGATTATCCCTCTTGACTGTAGCAAGTGTAGACCTGCCTGGATCCTGGGTTGAAAACCCATTTCAAGCATGTTGCAGAATGAGGTCCACTTGCACAAATTCTTCAAAACTTAACTCACTCACCTATGACTCGATTTTAAAGATCTTCTGGTATTTTTCTTATTCTGGTTGTCCCTCAGATTTTCAAGATTCTCTTGACCTTTTGAAACACTCTGAGGTTAATTTGTCATGCTTTACTTATATTATTATTATAAAACAGAAATCTTAAAGGACATTCAAAAATATATCCTGAATTTTCCAGCACGAGTACAACTACTATAATAATTTCTAAATATTCTTTTGGGTCTTTATTTACCTACTCATTTCTTAATTAACCATCACAGTAAAGCTGAGAGAATTTTATTATATCTGCTTAATTTAGTGAAGAAATTAAAGACAGCATGGTTAATTAATACTGCCCTAAATAACACATAAGTTAAATGGCCATGTGAGGTGTAAAAATTAGGAATGACTCCAAATTTTTTCCCATCCCCCAGCATGCTAATATGGTGTTAGCCACACACCTATCATTAGTATAGGTAACATTATCTTATGTACTATTATTTTCCTTCCTATCAATAACTTGGAATCATGTTAACTAAAGTTCACCAACTAATCTCTAGAAAAAGCCATTAAAGTTTTGTTAATTCTGAAGATGAAGTATAGGAAGTTTGTAAAAATGAAAGAAGTAGAAATTAATGTGAGTTATTTTTATTTGAAAAAAAAAAAAAAAGCTACAGCTTTAGAACTAGGTCAACTAAATGCACTATGATTACTTATCCAGATCCCCACCCCCGTTTTTTTTAACTTTTGGTGGTGGTGGACTAGGGAATGAGACCAGAGCCTTACACATGCTAGGCAAGTTCTCTATCACTGAGCTACATCCCTGGCCCTTTCTATTTTATTTTGAGGCAGGGTCTCACTAAGTTGCTTAGTCTGGCTTCTAACTTGTGATCCTCCTGCCTCAGTCGCCTCCATAGCTGGGATAACAGATATGCACCACCACACCCAGTTCTAAGCCATTTTAAATATTTTTTTATTTGTTGTTTTTAGTTATACATGATAGTAGGATATATTTTGACATATCATACATACATGGAGTATAACTTCCCATTTTTGTGGTTGTACATGATATGGAGTTATACTGGTTGTATATTCATATAAGAACATAGGAAAATTATGTCCAATTCATTCTACTGTCTTTCCCATTCCCATCCCTCCGTCCTTCCCCCAACTCCCCTGTGTTCAATCCAGTGAACCTCTACTCCTCCCTCCCAACACACCTGTCTTGTCAACATCTACAAATCAGAGAAAGCATTTAGCCTTTGGTTTTTAGGGGTTGGCTCCAAGCCATTTTTGATCAATTGGTTATAAAGTCTTCTTATTGTTCTTGTCACTAACCCCATTGAAAATCCCTGTGATCTAAATGTAGAATTAGACACCTGGGCAGCAAGTGCTAATGAATCATAACTCACAGAAGGAGAACTAAATGCTTCCATGCACTCGATACGAACAACACAAAGAGGAATGGCTGCCTGGTTTCCACTTGGGGGTCCATGCCTTGTGACAAGTGACACAAGGAGAAGGGTGAGCCTTGCAGCCCTTGAACTGTCCAAAGAGTCTTTTTTGCTCCTATTTTTTCTAGAACACAGAGTAGAGTGAGGCCGACTTGGGGGACAGTGATCAGACACCCCAGAGTGAGTCCCAGCTAAGAGGCTGCTCAGATCTCCTCAATTATAAATGGGCACCGCCACGGCACTAATGACCTCCCTTTGCTTTTCTGCAGGCAGAATGGGGAAACAAAATAGCAAACTGGCCCCCGAAGTCATGGAGGACCTGGTGAAGAGCACGGAGTTCAACGAGCACGAGCTGAAGCAGTGGTACAAAGGGTTCCTCAAGGACTGCCCGAGCGGGAGGCTGAACCTTGAAGAGTTCCAGCAGCTCTACGTGAAGGTAGGGCGCCCAGCCTTTCATTTCCTGGGCTGGAAAATACTGTCTCGGTGAAATGTAGCTTTATGTGGGATTTTAACTGGAAGGAGTCAGTTTGTTTCAATTCTGGCAGTTTTCTAACCAAAAAGAAAAATGGGCACTTTTTAAAAATGCAAGTTAAAAAGTATTTAAAAAGTATTTGTGTGTGTGTGTGTGTGTGTGTGCGCGCGCGCGCATGTGCACATATACATATGTTTAGAGATGAATCAAGAGGTTTCTGAACAAGAAGAGTAATTGTTAAAACACTGAATACTGTTTGAAAGATGATAACATCTAGTGAAAAACCAAAGAATCAGATAATTGGGTTTGCTGATAATTATTAGCAGGTTTCTAATGACAAATTTGTTTGGCTTTTTAAAGGTTGTGTGTGTGTTATCTCTGTTAAAGGGAAAGTACCTGAGAGAGCTGGCTGTGGTGGCACATACCTGTAATCTAGGCAGCCGAGGAGGCTGAGGCAGGACAATTGCAAATTCAAAGCCAGCTTTGACAACTTAGAAAGGCCATAAGCAACTTAGAGGGACCCTGTCTCTAAATAAAACATAGAAAGGGCTATGGATGTGGCTCAGCAGTTAATCACCCCTGAGTTCAATCTCCAATACCAAAAATAAAAAAAATAAATAAACAAAGAATAACTGGGAGGGATTTTTCACCAAGAAAGATCCCTCTTATATGCCATAAGAACCCAGATTCCTACAACAACCCATTTCAAAGGAAAAGGTGTGATATACCTCAGCATCAATGCCTATATCATGGAGTCTTAACTTCTTACATTATTTAGAAGCTACTCTTTGCCTGAACATTAAATGGAACTGTCCCATAAAGTATAATTTTTTCTTAAGTCATAGTGTTGTGGTTTGTCTATGTTTATGGAATTGTGTTGGTTCTAGTTTTGGCATGACTTAAGTCTTTCCATTTTGTGTATACTATGTAACAATATACATGTGAAAGAAATACATTTTTTAGCTACTTCTGACTAAAATACCAAATTAAAAAACATTGCTTTTATAATTTAATTGAGCAAATGTGAATTGGGGTAATATGAACTCTTCAGATACATATGTGTGTATGAGAAGCTTGTATCGAATGTTAAACATTGTCATTTTCTCTGAGGCTAAATATTTCCTGTAGCCTGTGATCTAACAATTTCACTCCTGCCCGAGTTCAAGAAGGGACATGTATAAGAATGCTCACAGCTGCAACAAAACTTGAAAGCAGCCCAAATGCTCATCAAAGGAAAAATGGAAAGTAAGCTGGAATATTTTTACAATAAAATATTACACAGCAGTCAAAATATTTAAACTCCAGCAAAAACACTAAAGGCAAAATAAGTTTTAACAATTCTAAATTAAACAAAAATAAAATTAAAATATGTGTTATAGGACTACAAATAAATGCAATAAAATGTTATATAAAAGAAAGCAAAGCAAGGAATGAAAAATACAGGATCCAGGTCAATGGTTGCTTCTGTTGGGAAGAGGTAAGACAGGGAATGGGGAATGACAGTGTGGTGAAATATAGACTGTGTCATAATCATAATTGCTGTTTTTATTGGTAGATTTGCAAGTGCTTATTGCATTAAAAGCCAACTAAATAAATGACAAGCTATTGCACGGGCCACTGAGAAACCCAGGCTTATGTCTAATCCAGTGTTGTGTACCTGGGGCCCCACAGGTATATACAAAATTATTTCCTGAAATGTGTGTAGAAAGGTATGGTGTGTGTACATGTTATAAGATCACCATGACATTCCTAAGAAGATTGATTAATTAATTATTATCTTATAGACATCTTTATATAGAGATACTGATAAATGCATCCATTTTTTAAGTGATACACAATACTTTTGCAGAGAAGTGGGATCAATGCATTTCCAAATTGTTACACCAGTCACTATAGTTTTCTAAGTCACATCTTCTACCACCTTCTCACCTGGAGTTAGCCTGTGCTTCAGGACTATCTTTACTCTTAGCCCCAAGGAATGTACAGACAAATGAGAAGTCACTTTTCTATCACTAACGCTCGTGGAAGTATCACCCTGTGGTCAGAAGAGCACTGGATGCCTATTCCTCACTATTTGTTTAAATTCGGAGGAGGTTAGCCTTTGAAGAAATCATTGAAATGCAAGAAATGAGGTCTTTCCTTCCTCTACTGAAAGAATTCAGCACTGACAAAGCCCCTGCCCCAAGCTAGAGGCCATGTGAACGTTAAGCATAGCTCAGTGCTTCATGGTACAACTCATGCTCTTGTACCAAAGCCATCTGCCACCTCTCCACCTCGCCCCAAGTGCAGTGGTTTTTGTTGTTGTTGTTGTTCGATAAAGGGCTATAGGACTCTCTGAACTTAGTTGATTCTCTCTTGGCAGCCTCTTACTTCAGCCTCCTAACAGTGACCAAACTTGGCCTGTGCTTTTGTGTCAAATAGGCAAAAACCAGGCAAAGTCTTTTTCTCCTTCCGGAGTTGTCCAAGGACACAAATTGGGGAAGAATCACAGAAGAAATATGCCACATACACAGAAAAAGAAAAAAGAAAAAAAAAGGAAGTTCTGATAAGCTAGAAGGGAGAGGCAGGGAGAAAGATGTGGGTTATGTAAGAGGCCCAGGAGAGGGACTGATGAGGAAAACTGCCTCTAATGCTTCTGAAAAATGCAAGGATTCAGCAAGACACAGTGATTATTCTGGAGAACGGGCAGTCTGCAGCAGTTCCTTCTCTGCGTGGGGTGGGGATGAGCCAAGCTGACGGAGGCCTTTGCCCTTCTGTCACTGCAGCCAGCCTGGTGCAACTCCTGCTGCTGACCTGACTGTCTCAGGTTCCACCTCAGCTGCTCCGGAACCCATCCTGATGAGCTTCAGCCAGGGCTGGGGAGTGGGAGACAACCATCTGCAAGGCCAGGAACTACCAAGCTCAGCTTCAGAAGCCTCTGCATCCCCAAGGTCAAGGCACTTGTACACGAGGTCTGCTGTGGAAACATTAGAAAGCTGGGGGTGAGGGGGTAGAAAAAATGAGGCCATTTGTCCAGCATCACCAAGAGTGAAGGCAGAATGCACACTCCAGTGGGGAATACTTCCACGCGGCTCACAGACCAACCCTTCCACCGGAGTCTCAAGGCAGCTCCTTGGCAGCCCACCCACCAAACAGCTGCTGGAGTGAGCTTTGTAAAACAGGTGCGGCATGATCCTTCCCAGTTCCATGCAGCTATCATCTTTCAGTCCTGAGGAACACGGCACCTCATTTCAATCGACACAAACCCCAGGGCCTGTAACAGAGCCAGCCACAGATCAGGCATTAGTGTATCTCCTCAGGAAGTCCTATGATGAAGAATGAAGGACTCTCCAGGTCCCCAGCTAATGGGGAAGACACAGCTATCCTCACTCCTAAGAGGAATGGCACATGTGTCTGGTGCTGAGGCAAGAATGGAAAGAAGAGAGGTTGATTTCAAACCACAGTATTAACACAAGAAGTTGAGTGATGCAGTGGTAGGAGGAGCACTTCGCTCTGAGCCTTAGAAGACAAAATATTCCTTAGATGATAGTTTTCAACTTTTTCAAGCTCAGTGCCTATTTCAGCTAAACGATCACACACACACACACACACACACACACACACACACAAACACAACCCCGATTCTTATGTTGAAGCCCTTAAGCCTCAGCACTGCAGATTGTGCCTGTATGTGGTGACCGAGTACTTAAAGGTGATTAAGTTAAAAGGAAGTCATTAGGGAGGGTCCTATTGCAGTTCAACTGGTGTCCTTTTAGGGGGAAACATAGGGAGAAGACAGCTGTCTACAAGTCGATCAGAGAAAGACCAGTCCTTCGGAGACTTTGTCTAGGACTTTCAGCCTCCAGGACCCAAGACAATACATTTCTTTAAGCCGTGTAGTCTGTGTACTGTGCTATGGCAGCCCTAGAAAAGTAGTACACTTCTTTTCCTTTTCTGTTGACATGTGCAAACTCAGAGCCTTCTGTAACTGATAAGAGGACACCTTCTGTCAGGAATGTCTGGCACCCCCGCACACGGGGATGTCTGTGTCTCTGGTCACAGAAGTTATAGCAGATGCCCTGTTATTCCCACCACAGCACTGCAGCCGATAGGCTGGGAAGAACTTGTATTTCATCAACCGAATAAAGTACCTGATTTTCTCCCCATGAGAATTTCCTGTTTCCAACAATCATTTTAGTTGCCAAATCAAGATCATGAATTAAGATGGAGAGCGTGCAATTTTAACTGTGTTTTCACAGAAGTGGCCACAGTTTTAAAATGAAGGCCAACTCTAGAGGAAAGCAAGCAGCCGTTGTGAGAGTGGAAATGTCCCTATCTCAGGGTCCTCTTCCTTGGAGGACTGATGCCATTTGTAATTTGCATAGCTACCATAACATCAAGGCCAAAGGAACCAAGGAACCACCTGGAGTCCTGTAAAGAGCCCTAAATAAACTTTGATATATGTTTGCAGTTTGACTTCCATAATTATTCTCATCACAAATCATTTGGGCTAGCACAGGTTGAGTCAAAAGGTAGTCACAAGGTTATTTACAAAAAAAAGGAAAGAAAATAGGATTTGAAATCCGACAGATATGAGAATCAATTCTAGCTGTACTATGTTTACAGAATCTCTGCCTCTCTGAATCTCAGTTTTCTTATTTATGCAGTGGAAATAAGAGGGCCTGTCATGTCACCTCACTTGGTAGAAACCCAAGGAAAGAAGGGATGTAAAATGATGTACAACCCATCCTAAGTTGTGTTTGTCATCATGATTGACGATTACCCTTGGAGGGCCAAGGAAATGCATTTTATTTCACATGCCAAGTTCCATGGCAATGTAGAATGGGATACAGAGGAGGATGTGAAGTTTAATGGGAAAATGTACCCTAGTCAAACAGCAGTCCACTATGCATTCCAGGGTGGGACGGTGGCACAGGAGGCTGCAGCATGGGGATGTGCCATCCTAATTCCCCAAGTAGGTTCTT